AGCAGAAATTTTGAGCAGTTCAGAGAACCGGTAGTGGAAATTTTGAGTAGTTTGGAGAACTGGCAAATACCACCTCTGGCTGGCACCAGAGTGAGGTGGGAATGAAGATTTTGTAATATCCTTCTCCCAGGAGTGGGGAGGGAATGGGGATTCTGCAGTATCCTTCCCTTGCCATGCCCACCAAGCCACACCACACCACACCCATCAAGCCACGCCCACAGAAACGGTAGTAAAAAAATTTGGATTTCACCACTGCTTCCCTGGTTTTCTTCATCTATTTGTGCCTGCACAGAAAAAAATCCAGATCAAACAGCATATCTGACAGAAGTGAGACATTAGCAGAATTGAGGAGGAGCACTTTATTTTTTTGAGTTGGGGCATTTTTTTTAAGCAGGCCTCTCCAGTGATAGAATCAAGGCTTGTGTTTGGAAGCAATGGGGTGGCATTTTACACAGGCTTAATGGTATAAACATCAGAGGGTTTTTAATAAACCTTGATTACAGAATGTTTTTAAAAAGATAAGTAATAGCAACATATTGCTGTGAAGTAAGGGGGAAAAAGTCAGATACTTTGTTTATCTGAAGATGACATTTTCAATTTCAGTTAATAGGAGATTCAAATGCCATAGTGAGTAAAGAGTCAGGAAAGCGTGATTTTTTGTATAATGTTTGCACGCCTCTTTTAGCTAAAACTACAAAATTAAGGATTCCTAATTCATCAGAATGTCATCTTGGTCTTCTTAACAGAGCAGTTGCCCTTAAGTTTCAAGTTTCCTCAAGGACTGTAGAAGGCCTATGGAGTTGGGAGATGAATAATCAGAAATGCTAGGCTAGATCCACCTCTTCTCCCCCTATCAAAATTTCCAAGCCCTATGTAGGATGAATTTGTGCTCCTCTGACTCATCCACACTAGATATGTATGTATGGATTTTCCCCAATTATTATATGTGTTGTGCAGGTCCTTGATTTTCTTCATACTTGTTGTCTCTTGCTGGCACTATGCCGGCAATATGACATCCAGTATAGAGAATTGGTTAAAATCAGTGGTGGGCTGCTCCCGGTTCTGTCCGTAAAACCAGTGGGAGGCTCCGCCCACCTGCCACGACATCATCATGGGTCATCTGTGCATGCACAGAAGAGCACCTGTGCAAGCGAAAGAAGCACGCATGGGTGCTGCTGCTGCGAACCGGTAGTAAAGGTAAGTACAACCCACCCCTGGTTAGAATGTTGGATTCTGGCTGAGAAAGACTATGCTCAAAAATACCTTTTGAAACAAAAGGTTGTAGAGTAATCATGGCCTCTTTCCTATCTCTTTGTTTAGGATAAAAAAAAAGGAAGGGGGAAATTTATACACTAAGCTTCTTGGAGAGAAACAGGATTTTAAACTATGGAACTAGACAAAAGTTAGAGTAAATTTAGAAGTTCCAAAAGATTGATGCCTGCTATTTGAAGGTCAAATTCATTAGATTAAGCAAGTGAAAGTCGGAATAAAGCTGAAACAGCCATTCAGTCAATCAGTCTCCCTCTCACCTCCCCCCCATGTGAGTGTGTGACTTTCCCGTTGGCCATGGGCATAATTATTCATCAGCACCTTACATCTGTCAGAAGGCTACATCCGTTACCCTTCTGACAATCAGAGGCACCCTTGGATGTTTTCCGGATGCTCACTATTTAAGCAAGGGTGAGCTGAACGTAAGGGACAATTGTGAGTACAGATTCTCCCAATTGTTTCCTCTCCTTTCAAATGCATCGGAACAAAATGTCCAAGCTTGTAGTCTATGTTTCACTGTGTCCCATGCTATGGATGGAAGGAAGCCAGTGGGAGAGTTCATTATAGTGCACTAAATTAGCCAATAAGCCTGCATGCATTGTGCAGCGGAAGTATTTGGGCAGCTCCTGTTCCTCAGTGACAGCTGCTTGGCATCAAATGTTGTAATTATCAACTCAGAAAGAGAGAGGCATTTGGAGAGAGAGAGAGAGAGAGAGAGAGAGAGAGAGAGAGAATAAAAACAGCAGCTAGCACAGAAAAGGATGTGATCTGTTTGCCATTGGACTTAACATCAGATTAAGAATTATCCTGTCTGTTGAGATTCAGGTAGATTCCTTGTCACTGCATCATAGGAGCAAATAGTAGCCTTCCTGTACAATAAATCCAGCACTTCTGTATTTTTGCTAGATGGTCTTTCCTTGGCCCTTAGCAGAAGAGTCAGTATCTTGCAATTACAGCCTGCTGCTCCTTCAATTCACAAGACCTACTATTCACTCATATGTGGGCATGTGTAAAAAGTCCAGTGTCAAGATCTTCCAGTCAAGGGCAAAGATGTTTGTCTAGATATTGTGAAGCAACTAACAGTAAAAGTTTATCAGCCTTCCCCTACCTGATGTGGTCTAGATATTTTGGGACTGCAACTTTCTGGGAATTAAGTCTTGGAAGGTACTGGATGTTATAGAAAAGCAAGCCAGCTAAATCAATGTATAAGATTGGTTCAGGTCTTCATAGAAATTAATTTCTATTAATTAAGAGGCATGCAGGCCAGGAAGCGGTTGTGCTCTCTTGGCAGAAGTGGCAGTGGGGGCTTGGCTGGCTTGTTCTCGGTGGTGGGCTGGGGGGACACTTCATTGACACTCTTCCAATTTCCAGCGCATGCATGCTTAGTCTTCGCATGTACATGTGTGCCAGAAACTGGAAGACCAGGTGGCTGGTGCACATGCATGCGCCAGAAACCAGAAGATCACCTTCCCAGCACACGATTGCGAGCCAGGCGGCTGCTCTTTTGGTTTCCAGCATGCGGGCTCTTGCGGGCTCTCATTTTGGCACTCGGTGCCGAAAAGATTCGCCAACACTGCGGTAGTGTAATTAATACAAGTTGAACAAAGCTGGTTGTACTAAAGACCAATCTACTCACGTTCCCCATCCTCTGCTGTGCCCATAATAAGCCCAGAAGAATATGGGGCAGCCCCTTTTTCCTACTTTTCCAGCAACCAGTATTCAGAGATACGGTTTCTTTGATTCTTAAAGTATCGTAGCCATTAGGACCACCTGTCATTGGTTCTTTTGTCCTTGATTAATTTATCTAATTCTCGCTGTAAATCATCTGAGTTGGTGGTCATCACCACATTTTGTATTAACTGGAAGAAATCCAGTTGGGGTTCAGGTCAACATATGCTGACCTTTTGAAAGCTTTGGATGAAGATTACAGCTGCTGATCTATATTACATATTTCTATAGATTCTATACAAGCATATCGTGTATAAAATAGTTTTACAATTATGTGCTTATTTTATCACTTTGTTTCCCATGTTGTAAGTTTGAGTTTCCCAGTTAAATTTATTTTTATTAACTATTGCTTTGGCACTCTTTGCTTTGATTGAATAATTGGGGAGGTTTGTTTTAAGGTGGAGGGATATATGTTAGTGATTGATGTTATGCTATTTGTTATTTTATGGTTCTTGGTCATTTTGATTTGATTTTGAGGAAACGCAAATTAAAGTCTGAGCAAAAAACACCATACAATGCATGCTGTCCTTGGCAGATAGGAAATAACTCTTTCTGTGACAGTTTTCCTAACCCAGCATGACCCAGGTTGTAGCACATGTTTAGGACCTTTGCAAGATTTCCAATACACATTCAACTCTGTGAAATCTCCCTCCCTGACCACCCAAGGAGTTCAGAAAGACTCAATCTGGCAATGTCCCATTAAATATCAATACAAATACTCTTAAGTACTTGTTACTAGAAGTTGTCCTAGTGGTATATATGAGTATAAATTCTGATGAATAAGGAAGTAAATTACCTGGAAAGATTATAAGGTCTTATGCTCTAGTAATGTGTTAATAAAAAGGTGGCCAGGGAGCTGTAAGAAATTGAATGGATGGATGGATGGATGGATGGATGGATGGATGGATGGATACTTTATTTTGCCAAGTGTGATCAGAAACACAAGGAATTTGTCTCCAGTACAGAAGCTTTCAGTGTACATGCAAAGCAACAATCATCATCATCATCCCAATAAGAGGGGAGAATAAAGAAGATAATAATAATATAGCCATACTACAAATTATTTGAATACAGCCTGTTTTGGAGCAGGAAGCAGGAAGCCTAGCTAAGATGTCATACTGGCAACAGGCTAAATTACAGACTTCTGTAAAGATGGACAAAATTGCCTGTTTAGTTTGATATGAAATTAGTATTTTTTTTCTAACCACAAAAGTTTCTATCCTCATTTGGCATCTGTTTGCAGCATGCATTCTTATGCATATTCGTTCTCAATATGTGCATTTCTTTGCAAGCAATTTCCCCTAATATAGGTATTTTCATATGCCATCTTCTATGTTATTTTTAGATACTTTTATTGGTCAAAGTACTACACTGCAAAAGATAAAAGATCATTGTGTTGGCCTTCCAATTTGTCCATTATCAATTGTGGGAGCAAAAATTAATTCAAATTGTATCAGGAACCAACCAATTTCTTCGCCAATTCTAGTCACTGGTACACATTGCTCTCTACTTGGCCTGATTTCTGAAGGGTTTTCACCTTTTCATTTTGAAAACATTCAGGCTTACTAACATTACAATTTTGCTCTTTCAACATATCAATAAAGATAAAAAAAATCAAGGTAATTGTAGCCAAATGAAAATTTATGTTTGCTTTTTATGGTGCTAGGAGAGAGAAGGATGAGTATTCAAAATACTTAGGATCATTTTCAGTATATAAATGCAATTTTATCTGGAACTTATTTACAGCCACAATTTATTTGTTTGTAGAAGATTATCTCTATCTTTGCAATACGGCAAAGCTCAGTATAAGCTCTGATCCTTTTTATTTTATCATAATATTTTTAATCATGAGAAAGGGCAAAACTGAGACATCTCACTTTCTATGACCCCTCAATAGGGCTTCGAAAACCCTCATAGCAAACTTCATTCAACAAGCTGTAAGCTTCCGCTGTTGACAGTCTAACTAGAAACGGATGACTGATTTTCATTTTTTTACATTACAGTTGTCCAGCATATCAAACGCCACAATATCGTCCTCAAGAGGGAGCTGGGAGAAGGAGCATTTGGCAAAGTTTTCTTGGCTGAATGTTATAACCTATATCCTGAGCAGGATAAGATCTTGGTTGCTGTAAAGGTAATGTATATATATATATATATCCTAAAGACTTGTGTTATACATCAGTCATTTCTGTTTCTCCAGAATAAACTATTTATTTCTGAGATTATTACTTCCATTATTGTTTAGATTGATCCACATTTGGATTTCAACTGTAATACTCCTTTCTCTATGTATTTACAAAGTTATGTTAATTGCTGTTGTTTTAAGGCAGGCACCTATAATCCGAAGTCCAAGAGTTACAACCAACTCTGCACCATTTTTGATTCTGGTGCCCCACAAGTTTCTCTAAGAACTGCTAGTAGCTGTAACGGTTATTGTGATGAAGTGAAAAACTATTAAATACATAAAGAGTCTTCTTGTTACTTGTGTTGAATAAATTCAATGCAATGTTAATGATGCATGCAAACAGTGATGGGTTCCGCCTGGTTCCGCCGAGCCGGTAGCGGTGACGATATGACGTCAGATCTGGGGATTTGACTTCAAAGCTAAGCACTAACTTTCATTTGGATTCACTTGGTTTTCTAACCCCATGATTGTCTCTGTGACAAAAAGATGAAATAGACAAGCACAATTCATGCAAGAAGAAATCCAGAAACAAGCACAGTAAGGATATGTTCTGGAGACTGGTAAGACCACCTCCAGAATAAGTGCAGAGTTGCACTGACCACCAGTTTTGCAAAATGGTTTCTATTTTCTCCAGTTGAGATAGAGTACTTTGTGACTGATATGTCCATTTCAGAAGAAATGTAGTTTGGGTAGTACCAGAACAAGCAGAACATATCTTTGTTAATGTTCAAGCACTGTCACATTTTCTTTTCATTCATTGGATCTTTGACATGCCTGCTCACTGGTTGCTGAGCAACCCAGAACAGCATTGTGTACTGTATGCATGTGAAGAAATAGCTACTGTTGTGCCTTGTGGGAAGTCTACAGCTGAAAATGAAGTGCTTGGCAAGGAAAGGGGGAGAGTGAAAAAATTTCAGCAGATATTCTGATCTTGTAACCATAAATAATTTGAAAAGAGTAGGTATTCCAAGGTCTTATGTAGAAATAGGATAAATAAATATGCACACGTTCACACATAGAAAAGAAAATTATGGTTAGCTTTTTTGAAAGGAGAAAGAGAAGGTCCCAAATGTGCTGTTCAAAAGATAACTGGACGTTCTTGGAATTTTCCTTCAAAATATTTCACTTTTCATCCAAGAAGCTTCTTCAGTTCTGAAATGAAGTAGCTTCTTAGATGAGAAGCAAACTGTTTTCAAAGAAAATATCAAGAAAGTCCAGTTCAGTGGTGAAATCCTACCCAGTTTGCCACCGGTTTGCTGCCCGTGCATACGCGGCGTGCACCAAGCATGTGCTGTGTAAGCGCATGTGCAGTACACACCAAATACATGCTGTGTGCACATGCACAATGCACACCAAACACACACTGCACATGCATGTGCAGTGCACACCAAATGCACACTGTGCGTGTGTATGCTCAGTACGCGCCAAACACGTGCTGTGAACTGAAAAAGGAGGCTTGGGAAGGTAAGTAGAACAGCAAGGGGGGGGAACAGCTGTGCCGCGCAACTTAGATTCACTAGAAAGCAGGCTTTCTAGCGATTTTAAATTGTGCGGCACAGCTGATCGTTGGAAATAACGGTTCGGACCAACCGGTAGCTTTTTTTTACTACTGGTTCTCTGAACCAGTAGCTTTTATCATTAGCGGTTTGCCCGAACCGGTGCAAATCAATAGGATTCCATCACTGGTCCAGTTGCCTTTTGAACAGCACCTTTGAGACAATCATGACTAGAGGACTGAAATCTCCATAGAGAAGAAGAAGGAAAAGGAAAAGGAGCAACGGGCTTATTTTTACTTTCAATTTGTTTGTAGAGAGTTTGATTTGTAGATGCCCACTTTCCAGTGAGCTTCTGTGCAGAAGGACTTAAGTGAGATTTAAATGGCATGCTGGCTTTTCATAAGCCTTCTAAAAGCTATGTGATGAGGGGTTACGCTGAATGGAAATAGCATTTTTCTATCTTGCTTGAAAGTTGACTTGTGCTACATTGCTTTTATCGAGAAATGAAGTGATATTATTCTAAGAGGACACACTGGCAACAGGCTAAATTGCAGACTTCTGTAAAGATAGTCAAAATGGCCTGTTTCATTTGATATGAAATTAGCATTTTTTTTTTCCTAACCACAAAATTGTCTATCCCGATTTGGCATGTGTTTGCAGCATGCATTCTTATACCTTTTTGTTCTTAATATGTGCATTTCTTTACAAGCAATTTCCCCTAATACGGGTATTTTCATATGCCATCTTCTATGCTATTTTTAGATATTTTTATTGGTCAAAGTACTATTGTACACTGCAAAAGATAAAACACAATTGTGTTGGCATTCTAATTTGCCCATTATAAATTTTGGAGCAACAATTAATTCAAATTTTATCAATATGTGGAACTGACTAATTTCTTCTACAATTCCAGTCACCAGTACACACTGCTCTCCATGGTTTCCATGTTTTCATTTTGAAAACATTCAAGCTACTAACGTCAGAATTTTGCTGTTTAAAAATATCAGTAAAGATAAAGAAATCAAGGGAATAGAATAGAATTCTTTATTGACCAAGTGTGATTGGACACACAAGGAATTTGTCTTGGTAGATTCAGTCTCAGTATACATAAAAGAAAAGATACATTTGTCAAGAATCATAAGGTACAACACTTAATGATAGTCATAGGGAACAAATAAGTTCACTTATACAAATAAGACATAATTGTATGTCTTCAAATGAAAATTTATATTTATTTTTTATGGTACCAGGCAAGATAAGGATAAGTATTCAAAACAGTAGGGATCATTTTCAGTATATAAATGCAATTTTATCTGGAACATATCTACAGCTATAACTTAGTTGTTTCTAGAAGATTATCTCTTTCTTTGCTTATAAGGTCAGTATAAGCTCATAGCCTTTCTATTTCATCATAATATTTCCAAAAACCGTACAATATATATTTGGACTCACAAGAAATGACAGAAATGTGGGAAAATTGCCCAAAATTGTTTTCTCCATAAACAGATTTGCCTCCAATTTTGAATTCATTATTCTTTTTCCTGGCTTCCGCCACTTGTAGAATTTGGTCCAATTCTATTCAGTGTTTAGGGAGTTATCCTTCAGATGGACCAACAAATAAATGAACATTTACAGTTCAGGATCATTTTAGGTAAGTTGATTGAGAAACATTTTAAGAAAATAACTGTTTACTATCTCTACTAAGGAGAACTAGTTTGGTCTAGTCGTTAACGCACCAGGCTAGAGACCAGGAGACAATGAATTCAAGTCTTGGTTTAGTCGGCTGGGTAACCTTGGGCCAGTCACTCTCTCTCAGCCCAACCCACTTCACAGAGTTGTTGTTGTAGAGAAAATAGGAGGAGGAAGCAGTATTAAGTAGATCCACCGCCTTGAGTTATTTCTAAAAATTAAAAAAGCAGGATGCAAATAAATAAACAAACTCCTAAAATTAATAAGGAAAATAAAATATTCTGGGCACAGCAATGATCCTAAATTAATAAGGAAAATAAAATGTTCTGGGCACAGCAATGATCCAGACAAAGACATCTATTCCATTTTGAGAAAAGTAAACATTCATCTGAGGAAAAGCTTTAGTTTAGTTTAGTTTAGTTTAGTTTATTTGATTTATATACCACCCTACTCCCGAAGGACTCAGGGTGGTGAACAGCCATAGGATAAAAACACATAAATATAAAATTTAAAACTGAATAAAACCGAATTAAACAATTTGGCCGAAGACAGATTTAAAACATCCCAATAAATTAAGAACGAATTAAAATTTGCATTTTAAAAAGGGGGGAAAGGGAAAAAATTAGGCCAGGCCAGCCTGATAGAATAAAAAGGTCTTGAGAGTGCGGCGGAAGGTGCATAGATCCGGGATCCTCCATATCTCCAGGGGGAGCTCATTCCAGATAGTAGGTGCCCCCACAGAGAAGGCTCTCCCCCTGGGGGCCACCAGTCGACATTGTTTGGCCGACAGAACCCGGAGGAGCCCTTCTCTATGAGAGTGTACCGGCTGGTGGGAGGCTACTGCTGGCAGCAGGCGGTACCGTAGATAACCAGGTCCTAAGCCATGGAGCGCTCTAAAGGTGGTAACCAAGACCTTGAAGCACACACAGAAGACCACCAGGAACCAGTGCAGCTTGCGCAGGAGAGGTGTTACATGGGATCGCCATGTCGCTCCCATAACCACCCGTGCAGCCGCACTCTGCGCCAGTTGGAGCCTCTGGGTGCTCCTCAAGGGGAGCCCCATGTAGAGAGAGTTGCAATAGTCCAGGCGGGAAGTGATGAGGGCATGAGTGACCATGTGTAAGGAGTCCCGATCCAGAAAGGGACACAACTGGCAAATCAGGCGAACCTGATGAAAAATCCTCCCGGTCACGGCTGTCAAATGCTCTTCTAAAGACAGCCGTGAATCCAGGAGGACGTCCAAGTTGCGAGCCCTCTCCGTGGGGGCCAGCGATTCGCCCCCAATAGTCAGTGGTGGCACCAACTGACTATATTGGGACGTCGGAAACCATAGCCACTCGGTCTTGGATAGGTTGAGCCTGAGCCTGTTTCTCCCCATCCAGATCCGTACGGCCTCCAGGCACCGGGACATCACTTCAAGGGCATCGTTGGGGTGGTCCGGGGTGGAGATGTACAGCTGACTTTTATCATCATTGTACTGATGGTACTTCACTCCGAAACCACGGAAGATCTCGCCCAGCAGCTTTACATAAATGTTGAACAGAAGGGGCAAGAGGACCGACCCTTATGGCACCCCACATATGAGGCGCCTCGGGGTCGACCTCTGCCCCCCTGCTAACACAGACTGCAATCGGTCGGAGAGAAAGGAGCAGAACCACTGCAACACAGTGCCCCCCCCACCCCTAACTCTTCCAATCGGTGCAGCATGATACCATGGTCGATGGTATCAAAAGCTGCTGAGAGATCTAATAGGACCAGAGGAGCAACCTCTGTCCCAAGCCCTCCAGAGATCATCAACCAATGCGACCAATGCTGTTTCCGTGCTGTACCCAGGCCTGAAGCCCGACTGGAACACATCCAGATACACTGTTTCATCCAGGTGCTGGGGAGCTGTCGCGCAACCACACTCTCAACAACCTTCACCACAAAGCGAAGGTTGGAGACCGGACGATAATTAGACAACACTTCCGGGTCCAGGGAAGGCTTCTTGAGGCAAGGCCTCACCACCGCCTCTTTCAAGGCAGCGGGGAAGTCACCCTCACTCAATGAAGCATTTATAATCCCCTGGAGCCAGCCTTACATCACCTCCCGAGAAGCCAGCACTAACCAGGAGGGACACGGGTCCAACAAACACATGGTCGCGTTCAGTCTACCCAGAATCCTGTCCACGTCGTCAGGAGTCACAGGATCAAACTCATCCCAGATAACATTCTCAAGACCTGCCTCAGTCATCCCCCCTGAAACTACCCAGTCGGAGTCCAGACCTTCCCGAATCTGAGTGATTTTGTCATGCAGATACTGTACAAAGTCCTCGGCTCTACCCTCCAAGGCAGCGGTTCTCAACCTGGGGGTCGCGACCCCTTTGGGGGTCGAACGGCCATTTCACGGGGGTCGCCAAAGCCCTCTCTCGCCCCCCCATGCCTTCACTCACCCTCACTCTCTGCTCTGTTGGATCGCCGGCCGTTCGCTTACCCCGCCCACTCCCAATCTATTGCTACCTCCTGAGTCCCAGCTGATGGCTAGAGGAAAAAAAACTGTTTAAATTCTTGCCGCGGGGCTTCAAAGGGCCGCCCTATAGCCAGTGGTGGGATTCTGCCGGTTCCGCCCCGCCCCTTGCCCCGCCCCTCCGCACCACTATTTATTGCCAATAAATAGTGGTGGGTGAGGGGCGGGCGAGCCAGCAATTTAACAAACGGTTCGGTGGTTTTTTTGTAATTTTATTGGCCCGCGGAGCTTCAGCATAGGCTAATTAGCCCTTGATTAGATCGGCTCCCGACTCTCAGCTGATTTGCTCTCAGCTGTTTTGCTCAGGGCTCTGCTGCTTGCTTGCAAAGAGTGCCGATTTTTTTCCCCCTAGCTATGCTGAAAAACGAAACTGAAAGTAAAGCAGGCTTGTTGGCTTTGCTGTAACGTTGGAAAATTAGGCAGGCAGATTTCTTTTCTTTTTCCTCACCAAAAAAGGTAGGTGCAAACAATGGAAAATTTAGGGAAAAAGAGGAGAGTTCAAGATTTTAAAACACAAAAGAAAAAAAGCTCTATTTAACTAGGGAATTGTAATAATTGAGATACTATTAATTGTATATTGTGTTGAAAGCAGAAATGGTTAAGTTATGGTTTGGAGGAATATATGGGGGAAATTATTTGGTTTATTATTATTATTGGTAAATATAATTAATTGATTTGTAAGAAATTGTATTGCATGGAAATAATTGGAATATTCATGTTCATATTGATTAATATACAAAAAAGGTAGTTATATAACTAATTGATTTATATTAAAATGTTGAATTTATATTAAACAACTGTAATATTACATAATTAACCAATGTGAGGATGGATATAAAAATAGATGACAATGGGAAGGGGTATAATATAGAATAGAAGGGAAAAATTGAATTTGATTAAGATTAGAGATGAGGATGAAGGGTAATATTGGTTTTTTAAAAAAAATAGATGAGGAATAAATATGGCAAAAAGGAAATATAGAAATTGTAAATTTAATTGAAATGACTAAACACTGTTTAAATTTGTGAACCGGCCAAATACTCTGTTCAAAGAAAATACATTGTATGTTTGTATGTGTGTTTCTAATTATTGTTATTTATTCATATTTGTTCTCTTTTATTCTTTAAAGTTTAACAATTCATTCTTTATTTTAATATCTTTATATTTGTTTGGGGTTGGTTTTCTTCCCTTTCATCTTTTTTATTGTACAGCAATCTTTCTCCTCAAACCTACTACCTCTCTCTTTTCTTTCCTTCTTACTTTCTCTTCCTCCCCCTCTTCTTCTCCTCCCTACTTCCTCTTCCTTTTTCCTTCTCTTCCTCTCTTCCTCCCTCTCTTACCCTCACTCCTACTCTAATTTCCCTTCCCTTCCTTCATCCCTCTCTATTGCTATATCTTTTTATGCATATGGACTACTCAGAGGGCTGAAAAAGTTATTTCTGACTGGTCCTCGCACTTTTGACCAGTCCTCGAACTTACGATTGTCCTCACATTTTACGTTTTTGCCCTATCTTGTCACCATGGTGAAGAGAAGCAGTTGTGAAATGAGTGACACGGTTGTTAAGAATGCTACAATGGGCATAAATGATGACCAGTCATAAGTGCGAAGACCGGTCAAAAGTGCGAGGACCTGTCAGAAATCACTTTTTTCAGCCCTCTGGGTAGTCCTTTTGTGTATATGGACTACTCAGAGGGCTGAAAAAGTTATTTTTGACTGGTCCTCGCACTTTTGACCAAACCTCGAATTTACGACTATCCTCACATTTTACGTTTTTTGCCCTATTTTATCACCATGGTGAAGAGAAGCAGTTGTGAAATGAGTGACATGGTTGTTAAGAATGCTGCACGGGCATAAATGTGAGGATGGTCATAAGTGTGAGGACCAGTCAAAAGTGCGAGGACCTGTCAGAAATGACTTTTTTCAGCCCTCTGGGTAGTCCCTATACACATAGCCATGGCCACCCGGTCACATGACCAGCTAGCCACGCCCACCCAGTCACATGACCTCCAAGCCACGCCCACAAAATAAGCCACGCCCACGGAACCGGTAGTAAAACAATTTAGAACCCACCCCTGGTTGGGGGTCACCCATGAGGAACTGTATTAAAGGGTCGCGGCATTAGGAAGGTTGAGACCCACTGTTCCAAGGGATCCTCCCGCACTTCCTGGTGGAGCAAGGAGCGGGTCACCCTAAACAGGGCGGCCGGGTGGTTCTCTGATGATGCAGTAAGAGCAGCAAAATAATTACACTTTGCTGCTTTTATCGCCACTAGGTAATTCTTAATATGAGATCTTTATGTTTTATGGCAACCCTACTGTTGTCTGTATTAGAACATGTACATGGGACCTGTCCTTAGAATTTCCAGTAAATTCATGGAGATAGGAGGATGTGGTGGCCACTGAAAGGTCCTCCCTTCCTTCCCAATGCATTCTCCTTAATCCTGCAAAAGACACCTGGGAAGTGCTGAGGTCAGAGAGGGATGGAGAGGGCAAGGAGAAAAAAAAAAAATTTTTTTTTATTAAGCTAATTTCTAGTCTTATGAGAACTGCACTGAGGACACCAGCATTAGAGGATGTCATTAAAAATGTTCCCTCAAGAGTAATTCTGAGACAAAAGAAACCTATCATGGATTAAGAGAAATTGTTCATTTGGCTGTTTCACAAGGCAGTGTATAGTTACCACAGCAACCGTTCCATCATAGAACTCAGCAGCTTCTTGGAGATCAAAAGCAAAAGCTCAGTGGGCTCCTTAGGGGTTCCATAGCAAGGGCTTAATAGCACTATAGATGCAACATGTTCTACCAAATGAAGTTTTATGGTTATCACTGTAACACTCCTGGGAGAAATAAGGGTGGGTATATTCAGGCTACTAGGGCTGCCTTTCTGCATAAATACCATTTTGCCTGTATGTAGATATGGTTATGACAGTAGTTCCTCAGAAATGTATCTCCATCTTTGCAGTATTACAAAGTTCAGCAAAAGCTCTGAGTCTCAGCATTTTACGGCAGTGTTTCCAAAAATCTCACAATATTATTTTGAGTTCCATCAGGAACAACAATAATGTGGGGAGATGTAGCCCAAGACAAAAATGAAGCTTCTTTTTTCAGCTCAGTCTTCTGTACTGGTTTCAATAACAAATGTGATCTCATTCAATACAGGTAGTCCTCAATTTATGAACTTATTTGAGCCCAAAATTTCTGTTATTAAGTGAGACATGTAAGTGATTTTACAATCTTTCTTGCCACGGTTGTTAAGTGAATCATTGCAGTTGATAAATTAGTAATCGGGTTGTTAAATGAACCTGGCTTCCCCATGGACTTTGCTTGTCAGAAGGTCGCAAAAGATATCACATGACCTTGGGACATAGTACCGGTCATAAATATGAACCAGTTGCCAAGCATCTGAATTTTGATCACATGATCATGGGGATGCTGCAAAGGCTATAGCTTTGAAAAATGGTCCTAAGTCACTTTTTTCAGTGCCGTTGTAACTTTGAATGGTTACTAAATGAAGTAAGTTGAGGACTAGATGTACAGATTTGAGAGAGTTGTCTTGCTGATGGACAGACAGATGAATGGACAGAGTGCAAAGCATTGGCATAATTTCTTCCCAATATTCCAAAGTTGGGTTGGAAAAAAATTAAAAGATGGATCAAAAACTTGGATATTAGAGTCACTGAGTTGAGAGTTGCGAATCCCAAGAACAGAACAGAACAGAACAGAACAGAACAGAACAGAACAGAACAGAACAGAACAGAACAGAACAGAACAGAACAGAACAGAATGTTTTATTGGCCAAGTGTGATTAGACACACATGAGCTGCGATGGCGCAGTGGTTAGGCTGTAGTACTGCAGGCTACTTTGCTGGTCACCAGCTGCCAGCAGTCTGGCAGATTGAATTTCACCAGGCTCAAGGTTGACTCAGCCTTCCATCCTTAGAGAGGGCTGTAAAGCACTATGAAACAGTATATAAGTCTACGTGCTAGTGCTAGACACACAAGGAATTTAGTGTGTAAAGAAGCTACCAATAGTACCATATCAGGAACTGTGGTATATATACACCAAAGCACCTTATCCCTGTGGCCTAACTCCTTCAATTTCATGATTCCCCCGCCCCAAGACAACAAGATACAGAAGTTGTTAACCATCTACCTTTCTTTCAACTTTTGATTCTTTCATTGTAGACTCTGAAGGATGCCAGTGACAATGCCCGCAAAGACTTCCATCGAGAAGCAGAACTACTGACTAATCTACAGCATGAACATATTGTCAAGTTTTATGGAGTGTGTGTAGAAGGAGATCCTCTCATCATGGTCTTTGAATACATGAAACATGGAGATCTCAACAAATTCCTTAGGTGAATTAAGAAATATTTGTGTCCCCCCCCCCAATTCTATGTTCAAATCTGAATTTGCCTGAACACCCCTGAAGTTTCATTAAGTTAGAGTCAAAAACCTCCACGCAGTGTTTCAGTAATAATCTATATTTTTTCCTCCAAGCATTTTATAGGCACCTTTGGTCCTCTAGATATTGCTGAACTATAATTCCCAGAAGCCACAACAAACAAGAATAGTGGTATTTTCAGAGTTGCAGTTCACCAGTATTTGATGGGATATATCTCTGATATAAGAAGAAAAATTCAAGGTGTGGAGAAAATGAAGCAATCATATGCTTTCAGCTTTGTACTATTTTTACAATGAAAATAAAAACAGTTCATCATTTTACTAAGATTCTCCAATGGTATTTCAGACAAGAGACATTGAAATATACAGGTAGTCCTCAACTTATGACCACAATTGAGCCCCAATTTATGCTGCTAAGTGAGAAATTTGTTAAGTGTGTTTTGCCCCATTTTACAACTTTTCTTGCCATGTTTGTTAAATGAATCACTGCAATTCTTAAATTAGTAACACGATTGTTAAGTGAATCTGGTTTCCCCATTGATTTTCCTGGTCAGAAGGTTGCAAAAAGGGACCACATGACTCCAGGACACTGCAACCGTCATACACGTGAGTTAATTGTCATACATCTGAAGTGTAAATCATGTGACCATGGGGATGCCACAGCAATCATAAGTGTGAAAAATGGTCATAAGTCACTTTTTTCGATCCTGTTGTAACTTCAAATGGTCACTAAATGAACTGTTGTATGTTGAGGACTACCTGTATAATAGAACCAGTGGTGTCTGGTTGGCCTTACTTGGGTGCAGAAACTAAGGAGTGTTGTGATTGACAATGAAAAGGAATAGCTCCAAGGAATATTGGGAATATAAGCCAACTGGATACTGGAAAATATATGTTGAAGAAGACAATGGCAAACAACGCTCATATTGCTGACAAATAAGTGGCATGGATGGGTGCAGCATGTCCATGAAGTTCATCTGAAAGGAGAGCTTCCTTGTTTTCTTGCCAACACTTAATACTCTTTGCAAATTTTCCATCCCAGGTACATGAAACAATCTGTGAGATATGAGAGACGCAGTCTCAAAACTGACAGTTGTTCACATTGGAAAATGCAGTTCTTTTTTCAGAATCTCACTTTCCTGTAAATGCACAACACATTTAAAAGTTTGGCCTTAAAGAAAAATCCCTGAAGCTATTCATCTTGAATTTGGCAGCTCTGATCCACTCAGATGGGGCAACTATGCTTCTCACATTTCATCTAATTTTGTCCAAGTTACTTTCTGAAACTTGGTGGACTTCTCCCTCTTGTAAAATTCTGCCATACATACGCATTTAATAGACCTCTGTTAAAAAAAGAAAAGAAAAGAAAGGTAAACAGTTATAGTCGTGTGTCAATTCTCCGTGAAAGTCAGTGAGTGCGCAAAGATTCACATTTCCAACTCTTAATTTGTATTTGGCCCTGCAATCAATCCGAATAGCTTTCCAATGGGTCTAAGATGAAATTGGGCTATTTTCCAAATTGCTGAGTTGTGGTCCAAATGGAATAATTTGATTGGTACGCATTCCTGCGTAAGAATTGTCTTACTAGATCAGGCCAAAAATCCTTCCTTTAGTCCAGCATTTTATTTCTCATAGTGGCCTTCCAGATGTCCCTATGCCATGTGGTAATGAATTCCACAGGCTAATTATGCACTATATGGAGAATTGTCTTCCTATTGTCTGTTTTAAATCATCCAACAAGTTTTATTGCATGGCCTTGGTCTTAATGTTTGAGAGAGGAAGGGGAAAAAACCTCCCACCTACTTTCTCCAGCCTGTGCATGATTTTATATGCTTTAGTCATGTTCTCAGTCAATTGCCTTTCTATCAAGCTTTGTCTCATAAATGGGGATTACAGTACAATGCTGGCATTTTTAAATAGATTTTTACTCCCTTTCCTGGTGATCTTTTGCTGTATTTTACACAGTTGCCTCACATTGAAACCACTTCTTTTAGTGTTATTCTGTGACCCCAAGATCTTTGTCCCAGTTAGTTACAATGCTTAGACCACATCAAATTCTATATGAGGAAGGCTTGTATGCCCCAAACACGTATAGCCTCACAGTTACTTAAATTGGACTACATTTGTCACTTGGTTGATCATTCATCCAATTTAAAGACATAATTCTTTAGTGTTATTTTTGTTGTTTATCAGCCCTAATATTTTATTATCATTCCCATACTTGGGCAGTTTGCTGTTTAACATCATTTCTGAATAAGCTGAATAGATTCCTAATAAAGAGTTTTGAGGGCTTCTACTTTGTACTTCCCTCCACTGAGATAATTGCTGCTTTATTTCCACTCTCTCCTCTCTGATCTTTTTAACCTGTTACTAATCTTTAAAAAGACCTGGGCTCTTATCCCATGGATGCTAAGTTTACTCAAGACCCTTTGATGAGTAACTTAAAAAAAAAAACCATACAAGAATGTTGAATGTTTTGGCTTCTTTGTCACCTAATACCTCAGTTGCTTTGAATATCTTTCCTGCTTCTAATATATTTTTATATATATAAAGGAGTTCTTACTATTCCCTTTTTGTTTTTGTTTTTTCATATTCTGCTGCCCCCCTCCACATTATCTAGCAAAGCTTATTCTCCTTTTTGTACTCTTAATCATGACAGGAGGGGGCACGATAGCTCAGTGGTTAAAGACACTGAGCTTGTCTGCTGGAAGCTGACAAACCTGGGTTCAAGACCCAAGTGTATGATGGGTGAGCTCCCGTTATTTCTCCGAGCTCCTGCCAAACTAGCAGTTTGAAAGCATGCAAATGCGAGTAGATAAATAGTTATCATTTTTATGGGAAGGTAACAGCGTTCCATGCGCCTCCGTGTATAATCATGCTGGCCACAAGAAAATGGAAGTGTCTTCAGACAATGCTGGTTCCCTTGGCTAAGAAATGAAGATGAGAACCGTCCCCTAGAGACCAACATGACTGGACAGGGAAACCTTTAGCTTAAAATTATAACAGACTTTTCATTCATTACTTCTTACAGTTACTTAGACACTATTCCAAACCCATGCTGGCCTCTTGGGCTTGGTGGTCTTTTTTTTTACATTGTTAATGTTATTAAGGCTTTAAATAATTTCTCTTTGGCCCTTTGTTTTTCATCCATCCCTTCACTTTGATAAATAACCCCTTTTATACTCAAATGTGTTGGACCCAACAGGCAGTTCCTCAACTGAATGCATGCTAAATATAAAAATAATATAGTCAGTGTGTCAGGATTCCAAATAACACCTCCAACGAAAGAAAATTCTGAGCCTCCAATTGGAACCCTGACACAGTGTCCCCTTTAGATTCTGCAGTAGTTACCATTCCCACAAGATCACCATCATACTTTAGGATTACTTAATCACTGTTTTCTTTATCACAGCCTAAGCTCTGTCTATGTCAGAATAATAGAAGTCTTCAATTATTATAAAAACGTCTATTTTTCTACATAAGTATTGCATATCTATAGATCTAATCTACATTTGGGGTCAGGTATTAATTCCCATTGTGATTCTTTGGGAGAATCTGTTCTTCAACGTTGTCCATATCTTATATTCTCTGAATTAATTTATCTTACTTTCTACTTATTCCGAAAAGCATTATGATTAAAAATTGGCCATGTCCCCATGATTAAAAATGAATGGTAATTAGGTTATCAAAGTAAAATATATATACATATACTCACAAACCATGATTTAAATATGTGAACAGAATGTGTCATTACTTGAAAATAGTATTATAACTCAGGTTTCATGATCAACATGTTTAAATGTGTCGATAAAGCATTTTTTACTAGTAATATCTGTAGTTCTCTACTGCAAAGCTTTTATTTTCTAAGGTGAAAAATCTGAAGAATATTTTTTTATAAATATTTTATTTTTATAAATTAATATGTTTATGATATAAATATATCATAATTTAGTTTGGGTAAAGAATAGACTACATACCACTTTTATAGCACGTACAGTACACAAACACATTATACCTCATTTCACAAACAAAAATCTTTCAAACTAAGTACTCTGAATTTTGCTTCAGGGAAAACCCAGGCTCACGCTAAAAATGGCTTCACCTACTTACACACATTAAAAGTCCTAAAGATTAGTACATTTATTATAGAATTAGAAGTTTGAATCAAAGCTATTGCATCAAATGCCAAAATGCATTTTTTTTTATTAAAACAAACACCTTTTGTTTATTAATGCATGCACAGCATTCCCCTTAGGAAAGATAAAATATTCCAAATAAGGAGAAACAAACAAATAAAACTGTCTAGTCTTGTTCTGAAAGTAAGAATCCCTCTGCAAAGGGGAGAGGCCAAGTATAATCATAAACATATCATCATCATTGTATATATAAAGTTCATGTTCAAGACTAGGTGTTCCTAATTAGGTAAAGTAATTTTATCTTAATAACCTGAAAAATTGCTGCTGGGCATTGGTATAGCTGTACTAGTAGTTGTAGTATGATTTATTTGGATTGGGCTAGCATGTTCTATTAATCTAGACAGTGTGATTTGCAAGCAACATTTTAGGGTTTAGTTGTGTGAACCCAGCTGGGTTATTCACATCACCAAAGTGTAGTTTAGCTGAAGGAGTGAATAATCTGTCCTAGTATAACTCAGTTTATTATTTTACATAAATGTTTCTTTATGAAATATTTTTAATATAGAATTTTCTTCTATAAAATGTTGCAGATTAATATGTATGGAATAAAGCCTTGAATCAAGAATTTTGATACTTGGGGGTACTTGGTTTTTCCCCCCAGGATTCATCGGTTTAATTTCCATAGGAAAGGTAGCTAAAATGGTGATAGAATAGCAGCTTCCCTGCTTGACCTCCTAATGAGATTTGAATTATTCTATCCATTTTTATGATTTTTTTAAAAAAAATTAGTTTCCACTAAAGCAGGGGTCGGAAACTATGGCAATTTTACAACCTCTGGACTTCAACTCTCCTGGCTGGCTCAGGAATTCTGGGAGCTGAAGTCCACTGATTGTGAAGCTTCAATAGTTGCACATCCCTGCACTAAAGTCTGTACAGTTGCCCAATTTTTCTTAGACTGTTAGTATGCAGACATTTAAAAAAAAAGCTTCGTGTACAGCAGGTAATTAGATTGAAATTGTGAGCGAGTAGATAAGGACAATCCTGTTGTAGCAACATTGTCAGGTCATCTTCACTCACCTCCTATTTGTTTTCCTCCCTCCCCACCCCACTCCCCCAATAAGCCTGATTTTCTTTTTTTTTTTTACATTGCTTTGTCTTGATATTTTGCTTTCCATTTTTTTTGGTCTATCTGTTGCAGTTGGTAAGTAAAGAATGGTATTACATCATGCCACAAACTGTTTTGCCTAAGAAAATTTTTAATGAGAAAAGCCACTAACTACAAGCAAGGAGTGCCTTTTTGCTTTATTTTGTGGAATAAATAAATAGGCTCCCTGGATGGGAAGTGCTGGGATATACATATATCTGTTATTTGCTTGCTTATAAAGATGCTCATCAGTCTTAGAAGGTTCGGAAAACCAGTCTACTGATAGAGATTTGCTATCTAATGCATGACTTGGAAATTAGTGGAAAGAGACAGCCTCCCACAATTGAATGCATTAAACATTAGTTATAATTACATGGCTTTAATAGCAACTCAAGCACCCATTCATTTATATATTATGGTATGGCTTGCCTTCTACCTGTTTTGAGGTAGAAGCAATCTGACGGTAATATATCTTCTTTTTTGAAAAGTTTGTTATTCGTCATCTGTAGCATCCATAACGGTTCAGTGAAAAAGAGACTCTCTTACATGAAATTAAAATTTAGCATTCTTCTCTCATTTGACACTACTTACAATAGGAGAGAAAATTTGCATGTAATCATGCTTTGGAAGCACATTTATTTCTTACCCTGCAGCGCCCCCCAAGGCCAAAAAAAACGATCTCACAATTTGTAGACAGACACACACAGTCAAACAGAGGCAGACAGACAATCGCAGGCCAGGATCTGAAGATCACAAAGGATTCCTGAGTGTGAAATTTAGGCAATGCAACACTTCAAATGTTTCAGGAGAAAACACCGACAAAAGTAAATCCAGTTCTAGAGGAGATGAAACAGTGATTAGAGAGTGCAACTCAGAAAGGAAGGAAGGAAGGAAGGAAGGAAGGAAGGAAGGAAGGAAGGAAGGAAGGAAGGAAGGAAGGAAAGAAGGAAGGAAGGAAGGAAGGAAGTTTTGATATATGACTGCAGAAAATTATATTGAATTGAGATAGATAGACTTGACTTTTGGGGGGAGGGATAAGAATGGGGCAAAAGGACAACATGTCTAAATCACAGAGCCCTGTTAAAAGCTGGTGATATTTCAGCCTCTCGAAAGTCTTCAGTTATGTTCAATTTTACACTCCTATTTGGTCACAGGCAAGAATATGACTGTATCTGATTTTCAGCGCAATGTTCTTTGAGCTTCAAAGTATTCAGTAGCTCTGAAGTGCATGTACTTCATGGCCTTTAATTTGAGCAACCTTGATCTGTGCTTCTACTATCTGAAAAGAGTTGATTCACAGCTCTACAGCTCAGAAATAGAAATAGCAAGCGCATCATCCAGTATTGATATGGCACATTTTGAAATCTCACATTATATTGAGGAAGAAGAAACAGAACAAGTCCCTGAAAAGTAGCATGAAAATGAAGTGTAGGCATTGAGTGATTCTTGCATAAGCAGGAAAAGAAAAGCATTTGATTGGGGATGTATATTATAGTTGTTTTGGATCTGCATTAAGTGGAAATAGCAGGAAGGTACAATGACTTATTAAAACAAAATAACAAAATATGTTCAGAACAGGGTGGGGTGGTGCTTTAATACCAGTAGCAGGAAAAGGAAAATTGTTTGCGCTTCACTGAGAAATCAATCCAATTCATTTTCAATATGTAAATAAAGAGTATACAGATAGTTTTTGAGTTATGACCATTATGGAACCTCTTTTATCACCATCACAAGTCGTAACGGTTGTCAAAAGACTGACCCAATTTTATGATGCTTTTTGTGGCACTCTTTTAAGAGAAATCAATGGTTGTAAATGTAAATGCCACAATTGTGAAGTGAACACTGCGGTTATAAGTGCAGACCCATTGTTCACTATGATCTGGTGCTGCCAAAACCCAGAAGTTTCAGCAAAACAGTTATTTACCTATTGCAGCTCATTTAAGGTGCACATCTTTGCTTCTGAATGTTGTTTGCTGTTAATTGTCAGGGAGGCAGCCTCTGCTGACAATTAAAGCTTTAAGCATTTCATATTGATGATACGTATATACGAGCAGAGGTTGCAAAACCTTAGGTTTGCTGACATACCCTGAGATCTTCCTAACCCCCAACTCCCCTAATGTCCTCTTAACTCTTAATAGCCTGGAGGAAGCTTGATGGTTATTCTCATGTTCCTTGGCAAATATAAATAAGGCGATAGATAGATAGATAGATAGATAGATAGATAGATAGATAGATAGATGTTTTCAGAGGTGGGATGTCACCATTTAAAGCTGCTCCATCCTTTGCACTTCGACAATGTCCTGTATGTTCATGTGCACACACATACACTTACATACTGTTGTGGTTCTTTCTTTCTTATGAATTTACAATGTCTGCACGTGCAATAATACAGAAACTAAACTGAATGTCTACAACTCTATTTGAGCTTATAAATTGCTCCCGGTCAATACATTTGTATTTTTTAAACACAGCTGTATTTAGAGTAGATTTTTACCACAGACTTCTCCCAAAATAAATATAAAGGCAAAGTGCACTTTGTACAAGTGCACAATGTCAGAGTAAGAAGATCAGAGAGGATACATTTTCTTTTCATCTTCCTTTCTAATTTTTACTTCACATCTAGGAAAAAAGAAGAATCATGTTATTGAGCACATTTTTCCTAGACAGGGACAATTACTGTTACTTCAGACAAAAGTCTGCAACAGTAATAGCACTAATTTTTATATACTTGTATCCTGCCTTCATTAGTTTTACAAAAAAATATATATTTTTTAATTTTTTTAAATTTTTTTAATTTGTATACAGACAAACAAACAAACAAACATTTAATACATCAGTTATCTCTTCCCTGTGACATCTCGGTGTTATCTTCCAAAGTTTCTTTCTTCTTCTGTATATGTGCTATTTCTTCTATGTTGATCCTTGTCCAATCCATAATATCAATTCATCACTAACATAATATTCTATTCATCACATATTTATGTATACTTATATAATTAATCATTTATATCTCTTCTCCAACCAGTGATAAAAATAATTCCATATTTTAAAATATTCTGAGTCTTATCTATCCTTAATCATCAAAGTTAATCTATTCATTTCTACACAATCTAAAAGATTTTTTATTACTTCATTAAGTAATAAATTATTTTATTTATTTATTTTATTTATAAAAAAGTTTATTTTATTAAACTTTTAGAAAAAAAATTAAGGTGACAAACATATTCAACACACCTTCCTTCCTTCTATTTTCCCCACAACAACAACCCTGTGAGGTAGCCCAAAGTTGCCCAACTGGCTTTCATGGCTAAGGTGGTATTGAACTCATAAGCTCCTGTTTTCTAGCCTGGTGCCTTAACCACTAGACCAAAGAGGATTAAATTGGACCACTTGACCAAACTAACATGATATGCAATATAGAGTTATCCTGTTGTTGTCCTGTGGTTTGCTTTATTATAAAAGTAAAGTAATAATAAAAGTACTTTATTATATAAAGTAAAAGCAAAGGAAATTCATAAGTGTGAATTTCAAAGAGCAGAACTTCCTTCACCTCAAATTAAGTAAAATGATGGCATCTTAAATCTATGCCTCTACATAGAGCTTCAAAAAGCAGTAACTGGCAATAGTAACAAAATTTACTAATTTATATGTCATTTTTCTTTCACATATGGAATCTCTAGGTAGCTTTCTGGATGGGCAACTATGGTAACTTTATGGCCTGTGGACTTCAATTCCCAGAATTCCTGAGGCAGCTAGCTCAGGAATTCTGGGAGTTGAAGTCCACAGGTCATAAAATTGTCATAGTTGCCCAACCCTGATCTATAACTAGCCAATACTATTCAAAGCCTTATTATTTGTTTGTTTCCTAAATTTGCATCCTGCCTTTTGTTCAGGAGCTCAAAGTGGCATATAAAGTGGTCTCTCCTTTCATTTTCCCTCACAGTAGCAAACCTGGCCGGGCTGAGAGAGAGTAAATTGATGAATTCTGGCCTTGATGCTTCCATCATGCCTCCTTCCCACCCTCCTGCTTTCTTCTGTAAGACCATCGATTGGAAAGGTGTCATTAGATCTCCTACATTTCTTCTGTGTTCATGCAGGGCGCATGGACCTGATGCAGTTCTGATGGCCGAAGGGAATCGTTTGGCTGAACTAACCCAATCCCAGATGCTGCACATTGCTCAGCAGATTGCAGCTGGTATGGTTTACTTAGCATCACAGCACTTTGTGCACCGTGACCTGGCTACTCGGAACTGCCTGGTTGGGGAGAACCTACTGGTGAAGATTGGAGATTTTGGGATGTCAAGAGATGTATATAGCACAGATTACTACAGGGTAAGTAATGTTGTACCTTGGTTTTAGGAAGAAGGGCCTGTTTTCAGAATTTCTTCTAGTGAGATTCTGTAAGAAAAAAAGATTATTTGAACCCTATGCTCAGTGTAATGAGGAAATTAAAGTCACTGCTGATAAACTGATTTATTAAATATCCAAAGAGTATTGCAAAAAAACCCTAAAGCTCCTGTGCAAACAAATTATTTATTGCTGTCCTCACTGAAACTTTCTTTAATGAGGCAAGTGGCTGTGGTTATTGTAAAGCAGGATGTCAAACTCGATTTCATTGAGGGCTGCATCAGGGTTGTGTTTGACCTTGAGGGTGGGGTTGGCCAGCTTGACGTCACTTGTGTCGGGGGTGCCTGTGGTGGCCTGAGCACTCTGCCAGTGAAAACAAAGCTTGGGAGGCTGTGACAGCCTCCTGCAACCCTCTGCCAGTGAAAACAGAGCTCGGGAGGGCAAAAACGGAGCTTGGGAGGGCTGCACGCTGGCAGAGGGTTGCAGAGCCTCCTGAGCTCTGTTTTCACTGGCAGACAACAGGCCGGTCCTTCGCTGTTTCCAGGGTGGCCCTGCAGGCCAGATCTAAGCACCCCGCAGGCTGGATCCGGCCATGGCCCTTGAGTTTGATACCCCTGTTGTAAAGTGACAAGTTTGGGGAGAACAGAAGGTGGTTGTGATCCCATAAAAAAAGAAAAGGCCATATTTATGTTACATTTGGATCAAAGTGTTTTGCTGTCCCAGCGAATTCATTCTTTATTTTAGCAGCATTACTTTGACCGTCTTGAGAGTTCGCTTCAAAAGTGAATGGTTTCATATGATTAGAAAAACTGAAGAAGTTACACATAAAGACATTATTTATATTCATGCAGCTGTTTTTATTGTGAGCTGAGAAGAACATTTTTATTTCGGTTTGTGCTATTTCTTCCTTTAGTGATCCAGACTCAGCAATTAGTTGACATCTGAACTAGATTTCTGTCTTTTGGAATAGTTGCTTTCCATGCTCTTTCATTCTCACATTACAAGAATGACATTACATCATATGAGTGAACATGGGATAAAAAGAAGGATTATGGGGCAGATGTACAAGCTCAACATGGAAAAAGGCTGTCATCAGCCAGCCTCTATTCATAAAGTTGCAGCAGTTTCCATCATGGTTGGTTTAGCATGCATGTTTTGGTCCTTGGATCCTACAAGGCATATGTTGCTGGGACAAACCATGGTACCCAAAATAGCTTCAGAATCCCATAGTTGGTGATAAAAAGCAGGAGAATAGTGAGATATTTGGGACTGAATCAGCAGAGGAAAGTCAAGCAACTGTAGGAATTACCCAAAAGTATTTGCTTTTTAAAAATCATCACAAAATTGCACACTGTTGTGGAGCAAAGCACTAGACAATCATACTATCATCTCCATTTCCCAAAGTGATGGGAGGACCAGGTTCTATAGTAAGAATTATCAAAATCCCAAGAGGTTATTGGAAATGGGGACCTTAGCTTCCCTGAATCAGAAGGGCCTTTTTTGTTGTCTTTTCTCTCTTTTCTCTTTTACTATGGGAAGTAGTGGGAACTAGAAGTTCTTGCTCAGAGTTCTCCCATCATTGATAGTTCCATTGCAGGAGAAAGAATTAATGTGAATGAAGGTAAATATATGAGCCCTAGGATAATGTTGCAGGATCCAGTTTGAGTCAGTCACTGGGACCAAAGGTTTATTTTTCCAAGCTTTCAGGCTCGTGCTAGAGCTCATCATCAGGGATTTTCTCTCTCCAGAATATATGCACTGGGCTGTTCTGTGTGTTGTATTTATATGGTTCCTGGTTGTGTGTAGCTTTTAATTGTTTATTAAGGTGTTGACGGCTAGCTATTAACTTCTTAATTGTTGTTTCATGTGACACTATGCCCTTGGCTTCTAAACACCTGATAGGCTGGTGATAAATCAGCATTCCTATTGACTGACAAAGGCACGTTTCCCAGGCTTCAATGATTTATCTGGCTACTTTTGTCCCTGCTCGGCCAACAATTATAGTAACTGCAAAATTGAATGCATTCAATGTGACCCTATCAATGAGTTTAGGTCTCCTCCTCTAACCGCTCACTTGTATTCTTGCAATCTGGTAATTAGCTTCCTCTCTGTCCCACATAGTCATAGAGGAAATCCATGCAGGGAATCTGGTAAACTACATTCAAAGTTTCTCCAGCTCCAAACAATCTTTGTATGATTTGCCCACATTTGGTAGCCTCTGGATGGTGGATGATGCCCACTTGCAGATTTCAGAAGTTGGATTCTACTGCTTCTGAAATGTTTTTAATATATGGCAGGGTGTGTCAAGTAGTTGGTCTTTTGTCTTCTTTCTTCCTTTCTCTCCCCAGCATATTGCACAGGCACCTTATGATAAATGTTTGTGGACACCCTAAATTGTTCATGTAGATACCTACTGTTTTGCCTGCTGGGTAGTATAGTGTGTTCATACTCTGCCTTACAGTATTTTGATGCAGTTCTGTTGACAGTGGATGGTTACCATTGAAACTAGAATGTATGGAGTGTTGGTAGCCCTGCAATATACCATGATTTCTAGGCTTCCATCTTCCCATCTATTGACAAGCATATCTAAGCATGTGTTTTTTCCTCCACTGTGAATTGCATGTCCAGGAAGATGGAATTTAATAGGGTATGAAAGTCTTCCAGCGCATTTCTTTGATAACCACAAATGTGTCATCCATGTAGTGATACCAAACTTTAGGTGTTTTAAAATGCACTGTGTTCCAGTTATATGGGACTGTTTCTGCAATAGCTCCTGATATTGAGGATTGCATGGTTGTTCCTTTTATTTGCTCATTTCCCTTTTAAACATGAAGAAGTTTAAATGGAGTAGATTCATGATTTGTGACCTAGTTAGGTTGTTTTGATCTGTGTTGTAATCTTCTAATTTACTGTTTGTCACTTTGTAAGTGAGGAGGGATGGATGTAAATAGGGTCACTACGTCAAAAGAAACCATGATTTCATAAGGAGCCTCATAGCCGCATAAGCCTTGTAGCTGTGTCAAAAATTATGGTGATGATGTGACTGTGGTGTTTGAAGGGAAGTCAGGAAGCTTAATCATTGTGCCAGCCATTTAGCCAAGTTGTAGGTGGGAATATCCCCTAGCGCTACAATAAATCTGAGGGGGACCCCTAGTTTGTGTGTTTTGGGGAGTCCATATAATCTCACTGGGATGGTGTTCTCTCATTTTACACCGTTCCTTTTCTGTTATACAGTTGCTTTGTTTAAGTTGGCTGAGATAAGTACTCAAGTGTTAGCCCCTTTTCTTTCTATCTCTTGGCTTGGCTTCTGGATCTCTGGGAGCTACAATACCCCTTTTCTTTTTCTGGCAGTCATAGTATTCATCATTCATGTGTTGAGCACAGTCATTTGTAAAGAAGTATCTTATTCAGGAGCCAAGGGATTTGGGCATCTGATCAATTCCTTTGCAAACTGGATCCCTCAACCTGTGGATGCATAGAGGAACTGTCAGGGATGGCACTAAAAGCAAAGCCGTGTTCTTGTTTCAACTTGGCAGGACCTCATATAGTCCCATAAAGACGCTTACGCATCCTGTGTTCCTGACTCAGTGCCACATTTTTAAATATATTTATTTACATAGAATTAAAATATAAAACGCTAGAGTCCTGGCTGGCTAGGGAATTCTGGGAATTGTGTCCACACTGGTGGGACCCTTGAGATAATTTTCAGGTATCGGGGAACTCCTGCATAAAAATGATTATATTTGTAGCTCATGGTATATTAGCACATTGGGTAAATTGAGGTGTGGTACATAATTTTTCCCACCGCTTGGAGTGCTAGCCTTGAAATTAAAAAGGGAGGTTTTTATGTTTATGGTCCCTTGCATAACTGTAGGGTTCAGTTAGAACTCCAGATGTGAAAGGCTGCTCTCGGTGGTTCACAAAACCAATGATAAAACTGCAAATCCTCCAAAGTCCCAAGGGTAAAGCAAAGCTAAAAAAAACCCTTAGTTATTTACCCATGTTCCTGCTCTTTCCTAACATCCTCTGCCCTCCAATGCAAGCATCAATTGTTGCCTTCTCAAATACCAAGCTGATGATTGGGTGACCCAGGTTTAGCCAGATATCTTCAGCCAGATATGATTACTTCTAGCTGTACAGATGCAAGAGGTATTAATAGATGAGATTCATCGGCATATTGAAGAAAATGTGGAGACTGACCATTATAAAGCAACTATAAAAAGCATTGGAACACATTGTTACTCCTTAATTGTGTGCTCTGTTACTAATTATTGTACCACTTTGCCTTGCCTGTGAGTCTCTTTGGGCTGCAAAACATGATGAAAAGAAGGATGAAGAATAGCAGTGTCCACAAAATAATTTTCACTGACACTTTAGAACCTGGGTCATGTTTCAGGAGGATATTAATTTGCCTCCAAATTTTTGGTCTTCTGTTGTCCTGTTACAACAACAAAAAAATAGGACCAACCTTTTCCTTTGGTGTCCAATTGTCAATAATGTTCTGCACTGTGTCAGCACAGCTATTAAGGGATACTGCAGAGATGACTGCAGAGAGAGATAACCTTTTGATAATTGGCACAGTGCACGCTAGTGATGGTGTTAGCTACATGGGTGCTGTTTGTTTGTTCAGAGCCTGAATGGTAGTACAGATAGAATGGGAAAGTAGTTATTCAGTTTCGGAAGCTCGGTCTGCAAGGAAAGGATCTTTTGTTTGAAAAGCTAAAGGTAAAGGTAAAGGTATATGCCCCCTTGCACATATGTGCTAGTCGTTCCTGACTCTAGGGGGCGATGCTCATCTCCATTTCAAAGCCGAAGAGCCAGTGCTATCTGAAGACGTCTCCGTGGTCATGTGGCCAGCATGACTAAATGCCAAAGGCACACAGAACGCTGTTACCTTCCTACCAAAGGTGGTCCCTATTTTTCTACTTGCATTTTTTACGTGCTTTCGAACTGCTAGGTTGGCAGAAGCTGGGAGAAGTAACAGG